GTATGTTAAGTCTATGGTTCAAATCTTGAAGCCAACACATAAGGAAACTCATTTCTTTGGATGCACCATGCTAATATAGAGGTATTCCTTAAGATCGTTAAAAAAGAATTGTATTGATAACTGCAAAAGTTAATTAAGGACACTCAAATAATAAACACCGAAAAAAGAGTAAGGATAACTTTAGAACCGAGAATTAAGATGACAAGAATGAACAAAAACCTAAATGAAGTAATCATAAATAAAAAAACTAATTGAATAAGACTTAAAAGTCAAAATTACCCAAATCTCCCAAATCATTATATAACATGTCATATGCCAAAATAAGACTAATACATGTATTATATTTATAATAATTAACTTTGATAAGTTTTTTGATTATTAATCATCTAAAAACAAGTTTCAAATACAAATCCTAAGTTATTTAATTATATTAAACTTGCAAAGCATGCTTCTTTTTTTTAACGGATATCTAAAAATTTGTATGGTAAAAGAAGACATATTATAGTATTGTAACACACCTTAAAACCATGATTAAATGGGTCAAAATAGTGAACAACATAATAAGAGTCAAAATAGTAGACTTGACTAGGATGTTGGCACAAAATAATTGAGTAATACAAGAAACTTTTGAAACAAGAAACGGTAAAAAAAATGGGACAAAGTGCTAATAGTGAGTCAAAATGATGCAGAAATGAATATCATAACACAAAAAAAAAAATAAATGAGTTACCAAAATGGTGATTTTACAAATATATATATATATATATATGCAAAAACTAAGCAAGTTCAAAACTTAAAAATAATAGTAGTCAAGAAACAAGCAAAAAAATGCAATAAAGTAAAGAAAAATAGCAATTAAATCATGGTAATCTAGAGTAGCAAATTAATGGTATAAATAAGTTTTAACATAAGAAAAATATCAGAAAAAGAAACTATAACAACAACTTAAATATTTTAAAAATTAGTAATTTTAGCAGTCTTTGAGACTAAAATAGCAAAATATGAGATAATATTTATATCTAAATGAATTAGATTTTGCTCTAAAAACAAATCAAAATTTTTACACCACTCAATACTACAAATACATTAGAATTTATACTAAAAGTTTGTATTTTTGGCTTATTTTATATCAAATTTTATTTGAAGCAAAAGCCAAGCCTTCTTTGTTCTCCAAATTGGAAAAAAAAAAAAGAACACTTAAACAATAGAACAACTCTCAATCCATAATAAATTCACACACCTAAAGAACAACTCAAACCAAACATTCACTACAAATTTTTGTCTACCGATAGAGTTTAACTAAATCAAGCATATAATAAAAAATTAATCCCTATAAATGCATTTCAACCATTTGCATTACCTCAAACCAATCAAATTATATAGTAAATTAATTATTTTTAACTATAGCTAAATAAATATAACTAAAATTGATAATTCAAGTAAGTGATAAATACATATATGCTCATGAAACCACTTAAGAAATTGAGAAACAAAATACTTAATTAGCTTTGAGTAATTCTTTTTTTTTTTTTGCCAGAAAAATTCTTAAACACCCTATCATAATGATTTTTATAATTGTGTCAACAAAACAAATGCAAATTCAACTTTCACAATTATAGTTTAATTAGTAGTACTTACTCAATGAAAAGCATATGTCTTCATAATAATTTAGAACATATAAATGAGTAGCCACCCTCAATTGAGGATCCATTGCCTTATTTTAGCTTTTTTCAATTATCTTAGGGTGCGTTTGGATTACGATTGGGAGATTTTCATGTAGTCACATAGTGTTTTTAGATATATGTGTATTTAATAATTTTTTTCAGACTACTTTTTCTAAAAGTTGCAAAAAGTCATAGCAGATCTATAGTAATTTTATATATAAAGCTAAACACCTCATTTTGAAGTTTTCTAATTATGACTTTTACGGAGAACACCTAATATTTAATATAATTACAAAATCACTTGTTAAAACTCCATTTCATATAATTTAACTACATTATAATTTATAATATTTTAATAATGAAAATATATTTAAAAACTTTAAATTATTAAAAAATAATAAATATTATATATTTTAATAATTATATATCTTACAATATTTTTTAAAATTTAATTAATACTTAATAAAATCTATCATATGTTATCTATAATATTTTTAAAAAATAAATAACTAAACACCAAAATAACTTTCAACTACAATTACAGCACAGCACAGCACATTCCAGTACAATACAGTCCAGCACAGTACAGTCTAGCACTGCCACAACCACAACACTTCACAGCAATCCCAAATACACCTTATTCTAGCTTTTTCCATTGCTCGACTTTAGCATATATTTTTGAACCATTAACTCTAGTATTATTATCAAGATTCTCATCATTTCTTGGAAGCATATTGAATTTTGTATCAATGCCTTTCAAATACCTCAAGTAAAATGTCAAACACTCATCAACTTTAAAGCGTTTATTATTGAAGTTTTTAGTTGTGCATCATCACAAACATAAAAATTGAGGGTGTACAAAAATCTCTTAATTAAATACATATACCTGAATTGAATTAGCCCAACAATATTGGCTTCATCTAGTAAGTATAAATATAAACAGACAATTATATTAAAACATGAGGAAGGCAATATCATTTCAAGCTTATAAAGTATGAGGACAATTTTGCTTTTCAAGGTAGATAAATTAGTTTGATAATTTAAATGCAAGTCCCTACAAAAGGTACTTAAGTCAATCAAAGGTTCATATATATCTTTTGGTAGGAAATCCTACACAATAAGAGAGAGAAAGCATTGCATGAGAACATGGTAATCATGACTTTTCAATCTAAAGATCTTACAATTTGACATTCACACATCAAGATATTTTGAAGAGAAGTCCATTTAGAGTCTTTAATTTTCTAACATTTTATATATTACATTTTTCTCCTCCTTAGATAGCTTTTAATATGCAACTAGAGCCTTGGCATCAAAACCTCCTTATTTAGAATGAAGTTCAAATTAGATATCTATTAAAAATAAATTATATATACTACATAATGTATCACATATCTTTTTATTATTGTCTATTATAGTGCCTAAGCAATTATCAAAAACATTTTTCTTAATGTGCATGGCATTAAAATTGTGAAGAATGTGAAGTGATTGAAAGTAGCAAGCTTATAGGAATTTCATCATTTGTTAGCAATTTAGGCTTTGTCTTGATTTCTACAAATCCAACTAATGATTTGGTATTTTTATATTATTTATATATGATAAGTAAAAACCTCTTACTTTCCAAGTAACACATCTTTCTTGAACTTGACATGTATCTCAATGTAATATGCATATGATAAGAATATTTTTATACCACTTAGTTGAATGCCTTAAAAGATCTATAAATTCTAAAAAGCCACTAATAGTCCACTAAATGGTTACTCACAATGTAAACTTTTTCTTATGGGTATCATATGTCTTAACATCAATATTTCACAATTTATTGTTTAATCAACTATTATAAAAATACATCAATATCAATTTTTAAACCATGTGGACCTGATATGATCATGGATATCATAAAGTGTGATTATTTCATGCACATATAAAATGGCAAGTTGTATGGGAAAAGAATAATGGGGTGAATGTTGTGTTGAGGGCTTAGTTTTTCGAATAGTTGAAAGCCAGTAGTTGCTATACTAGTCTAACATTTCTTGCATCACTATTAAATAAAGTGTTTTGTTTATCAAATAACTTTTAGCAAATATATGCATTATTATATCATTAACCCATTGTGCTTTATGCCACTTCATATTAAAGCCATTTTAGAAGACATAAATAGCCTTTACAATTTAGGTATAATGGAAAATAACATAACACCTTGTGTGAAACTATTTTATTCATACTTTACACTTATTAACTAACTTTTATCCAAATAGACCACATACTTGACAAGATATTGCCTTAACAATTGAATCCCAATATAATCGACAATTATATTCACAAACATCATTCTTTACATAATGCAATCCTAAATCAACAATATACTTTTGATAATCATTATATATTGTGAACAATATTTGTTTTCAATTACGAATCATTCTCTTAATAATTGAAGCTATCAAATGACCTATTGGTCCATTGACGATAACTCTTCATATGAAGCAAACTACCAACACCTCCCAATTTTGTGTGGTCACAACTTAAATGAAGTTTTCCTTTAACCTCTAACTATAAATTGTAATAAATAGCTACATTAGGATTAATTCCCTCCCCTAAAAAAGTCTCTTCATCCTTAATAGTACTAAAGTCTAATTATGTTCTGAGTCAAATGTAAGATATCAAAAATGCCATTCGCTAATCCAATAATATCATTGTAGAAAAACTCTTCAATAGTGTTTCTACTATCCAATACATTAGATTTATCCATTTTTTATCCGTGATGGTCCCAAACAATATATGACTTAAAAAATTAATGCTTTAACAGAAGATATGTAATTGTATCTCCCTGCCCATATATGATATATCTACATTTACCACAATGACATTTTATTTTGCCATTCTGAGGAGTACAAAAGTAAAGGTAAGAAAACATCAATCCCTTATATATAATTAGGAGTACAATTGTATCTTCCTACCCATATATGATATTTCCATCTATTTTCAATTTCAATCTAATGCTTATCTAATGCCTGTCCAATGGCATTTCAAAAATCTTTAGTAAGAGAAAAAAAAAAAAAAAGAATGTCTTTGAAAGTTGTAAAAAAATAGTGAGAAATTTAACTCTAATTGGAAAACATAGTTGTTGTCCCTAGAGTTCCTCTTCATTATTTCCTTAAGAAAAAGAAACCAGGATTATTAAAATATATAAATGAAATGAACAGGAGAAATTAAATTGAAATACTTAATAAAAATTAAGGTCTATTAAATTTGATTAAATTAAAAGAAAGTCTACTAAGTTAGAATGGAGGGAGTATTAGTTCGGATAAATTATAAATAAAAAAAATATTTATTATTTTAAAACAAAGGAAGTAGAAAAAATAAAATATAGGAAGTTGGGTGAGATTAGTACAGAATAATTAGGGGAAAAAGAAAGAAAGAAAAAAAAACAAAGAAGAAAAGAAACACAATGCAACGATGTCGTTCGGTGCACCTAGCCGTTGACGCGCCGGAAGGTGTCTTTTCCTGACAAAAGGAGATAAATAGATGGCAAAGTTGTTGGTTTGGCGATAAATTGAATTGAATTGAAGTCGCCGAGAGAGAGGAAAATGCCGAAGAGAACAACGCACACCTACTCCAGCGAAGACGCAGCGCCGGACGGACCTGATTCTGATCTCTTCGTCTACTATTGCAAGCACTGCGGATCCCATGTCCTCATTACTGGTTCCCTCTCTTGTCTTTTCTCTTTTATTTTACTGATTCAGATCAATAAAGGGACGACTCTGGCTTCTCTTAGCTTAGAAAAATATTTGTAAAATTTCAAACATATCCTTTTTGGTTGATTTCTTACAGATTGCAGATTTAGATGTTTTTAATTGATCATTTTTTTCTTGTTTTGTACTGAAATTTATTTTCTTTAAGATACCCAATTGCAGAAGATGCCAAAAAGGAAGACTGACAAAGCATATGTGTTGGACAAGAAAAACCATCTTGCAAGGCTTAACGTTAGTGAAGCTGGAAAGGTTCTCTTAAAGAGGTATTTTAGCTTGTTTTATGGCATTCATGCAATCTTGTCCAAAACTTGTTTGTTGTTTCATTACGTACAATTTATGATTATAGTGAGTGGGAACTGTAGAATCCGGAGTAGAAACCTTTGGTGCCAGGATAGTTTTCAATTTCTCCACAGCGGCATCATACCACAATGGGAACAATGAAAACGTTTGAATTGAACATTTCTTGTTTAGTTGCCAAATGTCTATAAACTTTTGACTATAAATTCGGCAAGTTAAAATTTTACATTAGATTTGTTTTAATTTGACACCAGCTTCACAACATTTTGGGGAGATTGAGAGCTATTCAATCCTTGCGTTTTGTAAATTGAAAGGACACTTCTCATATTGTTCAGACCCAAAGATTAACTGGAGTACTTTCGCTGAATCACATCACCTACTTGTGTTTGGTTAGCTTCTTCTAATTGAATTATTCCTGGGTCAGCTGTACTTTTGGACTGCATAATTTGGAATTCAGTGTTTAAGCCTGTTAGCGAGACTTTGATAGTTTGTTGACATGTCTCATATGTGATAATTTGGATGTCAGGTAGATAAATAGGCTTTGAAGATGTGCTGTTATGACTTGTTATTTGTTTTATAGCCGATCACTGTCCAGTTTACTGTAACTTTGCTCTGCATAAGCTTACAAATGCGACTGCATGATTTCTTAATGATTCATCCACATGAAAGTATTTTTTTTGATAAAACTTTTTCCTCAATATTTACTACATTTGGAAACTTTTAGTTGTGGGGTTCTGAACAATGACTACTTTGCAAATCATGGTGATGCCATGGTTCAAATTAACGTCTGTGGCAATTTCTTTGTTCAGGGGGGAAGGGAAGCTGGAGAAGCAATTCCGTATGAACTGTATAGGATGTGGCCTGTTTGTTTGTTATCGCGCAGAGGAAGATTTAGAAGCTGCGTCGTTCATTTATGTTGTCGATGGTGCACTTAGTACAGTTGCTGCAGAAACAAACCCGCAAGTACAGACTGTCATTCATAAATCAGCTTGATGATTGATTACAAAATGCATTACATAATTTATCTTGTTGATTGCTCTTTTCGTTTTTCTATGGTTCTTTCTCCTTTTCATTTTTCTTTTAATGGTTTCTTTATTTTTGACATTTTATGAATTGATGTTATTTTATTCTTTATTCTTTTTTTTTTTTTTTTTATACATTGTGCTTGTAGTACTGTTCTTGTTTATGTTAATTGCTTTTTTTTTTTGTTATTACCAAGTGAATGTCTTCTAGTGAACATTTTTACTTGTTATTTTCTCTTCAAGCAGCTGTAAATTCATGGATATCATATATGTACAGTACAGCATAAAAAACCCCTTTTTTTTTCTATGATTTATAATCTTTATAAATATGCTGTAGGATGCTCCTGTTCCACCCTGCATATCACAGTTAGAAGGAGGACTTGTTCAAGTGGCCATAGAGGTGGAAGATCGTGCACAACGTTCAGCAATTACAAGTAACATGTTCATTTAATTATTCTTAATTCTTTTGATGTGCTATTGGGCATGCAACTTCTTTTGCTATCCTTTTTTAATGGATTTTACCTATCTTTTCCTAGAACCTTATCTTTACCTTTTTAATTGAATACTTTACATTCAGTCAAACTCTTTATTTTTTTTTTTTTTTTTTAATAAGAAAAAATTCATACCTCTAATGTAGAGCTATCATACCCTCCTGCATATTGAGCATAATGGTTTTCAGGAGTTTGAGAACTTATGTTTGTATATTTGTTTGTAGAACTACTAACGTCCTAATCATTGTTGTCAAAATCGTGAGTTATCTTGTAAACTTGCATGATTTTACATTCTTAGGGATGGAAAACAAGTCAAATCATCTATAAAATCAGGATTTCATGAACTCGCGGTGGACCCGCCGCAAACTCGTAAAATCATTTGAAATTGGATGAATACGCAAGTTTACAAAATCTAGACTTTTGCATTGGGTCTCAATGGATTGGCTTTGAAATTGCCACCCATGCTTCCAATTTCAGGTTTTAACTTCCCTTTGTTTGATTTAGAAACTCTTACTGATGACCTGTTTCCACAAGGAGCAAAGAAATAGGGAGAAAGGAAGATTAAATGGAGCAAAAATGGAAGAAATCTATTGCCCAAAATAGGAACAAGGATGAAAGAGTAAGCCAGGTTGAAGGGAAAGCAAAGAACGATAAAATCTGTTGGAAAAAAAAAAGAGTAGATAAGGAGAAAGGGAGCTTGAATGGAGCAAAAATGTTAGAAAAGAGGGAAAATGAGAGTGGAGAAAACAAGGAAGGTGAACGGATCGAGTAGCCTTTTTAAGGCAAAAACCTACTTTTAGTTCCTCACCTTACCAAGTTTGAAGGTTTTAGCCTCTTACCTTATATTATGACACATTTAGCTCCTTACCTTACTAGATTTATAGGTTTTAGCCACTCACCTATTAAAATCGAAGAAAATAACCCTCACTTTATGTTGATTGTTAACTCTGAAAGTAGATTTTTATCAATTAACAGTTAACTATTAGCTAATTAACAGAATTAACAAAATATTATAAAGTTAGTTTTGCTAATTTTGTTAGCTGAAAGAAAGAAGGTTTTTTGATAGCTAACAGTCAACTAACAGTCAGCTAATAGAGTTAACAGTCAACTAACAGATCTAACAAAATGTTACAAAGTGAGGTTATTTTCTTCAGTTTTAATAAGTGAAGGGCTAAAAGTGTCACAGTATAAGATGAGGGGTTAAAACTTACAAATATAGTAAGGTGAAGGGTTAAAAATGTCATAATATAAGGTGAGGGGCTAAAATCTTCAAATTTAACAAGGTGAGGGGTTAAAAGTAGGCTTTTGCTACCTTTTTAATGGGGATTATGGTGACAAGTGGGATTGGGTGTTTGTTTTCTTTTTACTGTTTTTTTTTTTTTTTAATTTTTGGATAAAGAAAGTGAATGTGATTTAATTTAAACAATAATTTCTCTTTTAAAATTTTTTTTATATTATCATATATTATAATATTAAAATTTAGTTCTTATTAGAGTTATTATAAACTTTAACCCCATATTGGTTTCTTTATTGTTGAAATTTAGTTATATTAATATAGAAGTATAAATTTTTATTATTTATTTATTAAATTTATTGAACTCTTGATTTTACCAATTCGATTTTACAATTTTGATTTTACAATTTCAATTTCATCTAATCAAAACAATTTTAGATAAAATCTCGATTTTGACAACCTTGGTCCTAATGCTATATTTACTGTTATCACTGTGCACAATCAGGAGATCATAGGGTTGAGATATTGAATTTGGAACCAAGGAAGCAAAAGGAAGTGGCTTATGTAAAATGTAGAGAACAAAGTATCTGGAATGACCTTGACATGTATACAAACTGTGTTTTTTTTTTTTTTTAATGTAACATAGATATGGCCTAAAGTGTTGTATACACATGTGTGGCATGAGCACTTAGATGCAAGACTATCAATTATGTGTTTGTGATGAATCAATTCAGCGATTTGAAATAGTCACATATTTAGGTGATGTTGCATTATTGATCTTGTTTTGTCGGTTACATCCTCCTTGGCATCACCTTTGGATTCCTAAACTTGGAGCCCTGCCTTGTCAGTTTAGGGCAGGATCTGACATCTTTAAAGACATACTGCCCTGTTTCAAGAAGTTCAAAAGGTTAAAAGAAAACAATTTGGTAATAACTGAATAAAATTCCTGCAATTATGTTCTATTAGAACTGAAGATTCATTGTGAGAGTGTTTTTCTTGAGATCACATTTGTTAGCCCTGTAAAAGGATTCTTTGTATAGTAGTACTTCATAAAAGTATCCATAATCCATATTCCTATATGCTTTCTTGATTTTCTCTTTTCTTCTTGGCATTTTATTGTTGCCAGGGGTAAATGCTGATGATGTCCGGGTTACTGTTGCTGCACCAGCAGCCCGGGGTGAAGCTAACAATGAACTATTGGAATTCATGGGAAAGGTTTCATCTTCTTTTAAATCTTTGGCTACTCTTGTAAATGAGCACAAAATCTTAGTTATCATTTTTTGAATCTCAAGCTGTGGTTAACATCCCTGCCTTTAACACAGGTTTTGGGTCTAAGACTGAGTCAGATGACACTTCAGAGAGGATGGAATAACAAATCAAAGCTCCTAGTGGTAAGTCAAATCAAATATAATTTTTTCATATTTAAATACATGTGTTGCACCTTGCAGGGATATATGTAATAGGGACTAATTCAAGTGATGTAGTTGCCAAATCCCTATTGGTTCCTCTAGGATTTGTGAATAATATTAAACTAATAATTGCATCTGATATTTTCCACCAGCTAGATATTAATGTGTTCTAGTTTGCCAAATTTCTCTAGGTCTCTACGCTTATTTCTCTCTTTCTTTTCCTCTTTTCTCTACACCCTAGACCTACAGGTTTAATTGGTCTCACTTGTTGATTTGCTACTTCTGAAACAACACATCTAGGCATTTGAAGGGTATAAAATGATAGATATCTCATGTCACTTTAACTGAGATGCATAAGAACCACCATTTCTAAAGATTCTATTACCTACTCCTATGGTAGCATAACTAGTTTATGTGGAAATTTTTTTATTGTTTATTTTGTGTTTTATAAATCCAAACCTTTTGTTGCTGCATCTGTCACTCAATTTCTTGAGTTATAATTTGTCTTTCTTTGCATATGTCACACTCTTTTTCTTGTCACTCTTTTCTGTTTACTGAACTTGACATTTTTGGAGAACGACCATAGGTCCAGGACACGGGTCCTTATAAGATATTGGCTGTAAACTTGCTGACATTTGATTTTGTATCAGGTGGAGGACCTGTCTGCCAGACAGGTGTACGAGAAACTTCTGGAAGCTGTTCAACCTTGAAGCAAAAATTTTTGGTAGTGTCCTTTTTTACCCTGAACTTTTAATGGTTGTTAGTTATGAGAAGCAATCTGTGTAATCAATTACCGATTAAGTGATTCAGTTTTATAACCTTAGTTGTATGAATGAATTTTGCTTGAATTCGTGATAACTTTCATCAAGACTTAGAGACTTTGTGTGTACACGGTACTTTTTTGAGAAAATGTGCGGATTAGGATACAAGTTTTGTCGTTTTTTCTATTTAAGAGTGTGAATTTTGCAGGTTTCTAATTAAGGCAGCAAACTTTCAAATTTTTTTACTTAAGGATGTCAACTTTACAATTTTTTGTATTTAAGAATTAGTTAGATAGTAAAAAAAGCTATTTGTTACATTAATATCACCATTTTATTAATCCTTAAATGGAACAAACATAAAGTTGATATTTTTAAATAGAAAAAGTTAAAAATTTACTACCTTATTTAAAAACCGATAAAACTTGCATCCTTATATAAAAAAAATAACATAATTTGTATTTTTATCTACATTTTTTCTCATACATATCATAAAAAAATGGAAATTTATTATATTTACAATCTCTTACTTAGGGATTTCCTATTGATGCTCATTACTCTCAAGCGTGGAGTTTGGTTGCAAGTTAATGGAAGAATGTTTGTGGATTGCACCTTAAAAATTAGACACTTGACAAGAATGAGGGATAAACTTCCCACCTTAAAATGGAAGCTGCCTTGGATATGCTCTGAAGGACTTCACCAAACTAATGTATCTAGGAAGAGCTAAGGATGCAAGAAAAGCAAATGAATGTAAAGCTCTAAGAAGTTTAAATGAACTTGTAAAGATGCAAATTAAATCAGAATAAACCTAATTAAAATAATTCTAAATGAAGTAAAGCAAATTAAACTAGATTGGTTGAATCTAGAAGCATGAAAAGTTCGTTGGTACTTTGGTAGCGTGAAATCAAATCTAATAATAGAAGTAAAGCAGAATGTGAATCTGAATATTAACAGTACTTTACTGAGCAAAATACATTAATGAGAGTACTTGAAAAACTAACAAAGAAAGGAAGCACTTCAACCATAACAAACTACCATTTGCATCAACGAACCTTACCATTACATAACCAGCAAAGGGAGAGTTGAATTGCTTTCTAAGAGAGCTATAGCAAATTTTTGGAATTCCTAAAAGTCAAGAAGGAAATGACACTATGCTAATGCTAGATACTAATGTTGGTAGAGGCATGGACCTAAGATTAAACTATGGAAGCTATAAGACTGAAATGTGCTTGAGTATTGAAAGGTAAATAGTGCTTGGCTGGTTTGAGAGGAACATGCTTGCTTTTCTTGGTTTCAATTCTATGTATTTATGTGCTAAACATCCCCTGGTAGCATGTTGAAAATCCCTAGAGACCTGCTTAGAATCTGCAACAACCAAACCACTGTACTGTTGATGCAGCAACAACTACCTAGATTGAATCTGGAGAAAAATCAACCACTTAGCTTGACTTAGTTGATGAAAACGTCACTTGGCAGCTATTGGTAGCATTATGTGTGCATAGTTTTTACTCTTTTTAAATCAAATCGGTTGTAGTTCCTGAATTATTTTTTTGATACGTATAGCCTCTAGATTTGCTCCATGATTATTTTGAAAATCCTGCAGTAAAATTACTAATTAAAATAATTTAAGTAATAAATAAGATTTGCCAACATAGATGACATGTAACAGTTATCCATTGCTCAATATTTCAAAGGTTGCAAAGTAAAATAAGCCTTAATATCACCAAGTGCTATGGCAAAATAACAAGACACTCATTAAAACAAATGGGACTTGGTGCATTTTTTTACTGATTTGTAAAAAAGGGTGTAAACAGATATTTTTATATGGAATGTGAATGACAATTAACTTTTTTTTAATCATTTATAGGTTAGGTGCAAAAGAAATGACAACTAATATGAAGAGAGAATAACTACTAATTCTGATATCATTTAGAATTAAGAACAAAACAGGCTTTGTTTGTTTGAGCTGTTTTGTGTTGCAACAAATTTTTATTATTCTAAAAACATATGAAATATTAATTAAGATTAATAAAAATATGTAAATAATTATTTAAAATTAATTAAAAACTATAAATTTATATTTTTAAAAGGTGTTATATATATAAAAAAAATTCTATAAGAAAATTGACAAACAAAGCCTGAGATTTCTTTTGAGAATAACAAGATATAATTGTGACTAAGTTTTTTTTGATCTTTTAATATCCAAAAAGTACATAAAATATATTTGCTGCACAACTTTCACAGATGAAGCCTAATATTGAAGGCAAATGGGAAGTGAAATAGATTCAAGAATTGATATGTTTTTTATAAGAAACCGGCCATAGTAAATTATGCATAATAGTGGGGGACCAGAAAAAAGGGTATGCATAATAATAGTAAAAAGCCATAGTGCTACTTCACATACAACTTCAAAATCAAAGCAAAATATAAAAAGTAGTATCTGTAATACAGAAACAAAATGTAAGCTTCAAGATCGAAGTGTTTTCTCTCCCTATAATACTTAAATTACTCCGCATAAAGGCACTTATCAATTATCATATCATAACCCTTCTTGTTTGGGCCTCATCCTAACAAAAATCCTGCTTTGCTTGCTTCTTGATTTGACACATGCAGAGCTCACCCACATAAACACTCTTTAGTCATTTACACTTTTTAAGCGTTGAATCAGCTCATCCTGCATGGTTTAATTCGTCATGAGACGGATGCTCATTCAGTAAAACAATTTGTCAAAGAAATGTAAGTTAAAATTGCCCATGTCACAGAGATTTCTAAAGATAGAAATGAACCTCTGCATAAAAATCCTTCTTGCAGAAATAACTGGAATAAAAAATAACTTCTTTTTTTTTTTTTTTTTTATGGGAAAAAAATAACTTAAATTGAGTAGTGGGATTTCCAGCGATATGGTCCTAGCCCTACTCAGTCTTTAAGATTAGTGATCCAATTTAGATAAGCCACAGGGGTATCTCATAATTACAATTACTAAAAACTAAAAAAGTCATGAAAATTATGAGAAAGACTAGGGTTATTCCTGAGAGGAGAGAAATGGATATATGTGAATCAAAAGAAATCAACTTTATTCATTGGCTTAACTCTTGGAGTAAATATAGACCATTTAACTTAACCAAGGGATAAAAAGAATTCTATTTTTTTTTCCTGACATTGTTATGGCCTCCATGAGTATTTCAGAAGGGCACAAGAGCCTACCAATTTAACTTAAACATATTTCATAACATTTACTGAGAAACATACCTTTTTCCCTTTAGGTGAAAGACCTTTTTCCTTAAGAAGGGCACGGAGCCTATCTACAGTCAGAGTGCGTAAGTAAATTTCACCTGCACATCCATTTGATCCCTCTGCATGTTTAAAAATCATTTGAGAAACTCAACATGGTGGCAAAGAGATGATGTCATTAACTTACACAGAGAAAAAATAAAAACTATATCCTAACATTAGATTCCTTAAGTTATCCAAGAATATTGAATGGGCTTCATATAGGTTATACACTGATAAACTATATGCTAACATTAGGGACCTTGAGTTCTCTTAGGAATATTGAATGGGCTTCATATAGGTTATACACTAGTAAAATCACATAAAATCATTCACTTGAAATGGAACAAAGAACAAACAATAGAGAAAAAGAACTTAACAAGTGATACAAATTTAAAATTTCCAAACTATTGTTTCAAGTTTTGATATAATTTTTATTATATCCTCTTCTTCTTTTTTGGCAAGCATATCTTCTTAAATAATAGTACATAAAAAAAAAATTAAAAAAAAAAGAAGCTAACTTCTAGCAGGTATCCAACAGCACCTAAATTCTTGAAGAAAAATTTTTGCAAATTAACCGCAACAAAGGATCAGTAGATAGGTGATGCAACATTAATTGTTGCTTATCAAGAATCTCAAACCTTGATGAAGCCTAAAAGAAAGCAATTCACCATCTCCCAAGTCTCAACCATTAAGAAAAAAGCATTTCTGAAACTTTATGATCTCATGAAAATTGACACAAACCTATAAACTGATTCTCAAGGAAGACTAAAATTAGAGCTGAATCATAATAAACACACCATCTAACTGTACTGGTTCCACTAAGTCAAATCATACTTGCCTATGACTTAATGATTGTTGTGACAAATTGCCAGAACCATGTGTTGAAGTTATGAATGGGAGTAAAACAGATAGATATAGCTGCAAATGGAAAAGAACCTCCAGGCTCAATCAAAGCATACCTGGTTGAGAAATGTTAGTTTTTGCTTTCTTCGCTGAAGCCCTGGTATCCATAGCTCTTTCAACAGTCCTGCGGAATTGGCAATTGTCAAATACAGAAAACATCAAACAGCACACAATAAAGGGCCTTCTATTCTAGCAGAAAAGATCTATAGAGGCTGTATCAGGCATCAGCAAAATAGTATGCATCTGTGGTTTCCTGCTAACAGTGCCTCAAAATAAAGCTAAGAAAGCATGTTCAAGTCCAGATCCTCAAAAATTGTGAACAGAACAATTTGATGACTACAAGAAGTTGAAACCTGTTGCATGCAATGCTATCACTATAAACCAAGTAGCATTCATCTAAAGAAAGATGCAATTAATACCTCTTTCTATGGTCGTCAGATGCAAGCTTTACATCCTTGGAACTGGAATCACCCTTTTTTCCATTGAGCAAAAGTGATCTAATGAGTATGTTTTGTTGGTTTGTCTCAATTTTCTGATCCTCTGGACAGAAGAGGGAAAGTTAAATCATCTACCTTTCTAAATAAAACCAAAACAGGTCATGTATATTAAATTGCATGCACTCACAGCCAATCTTATGGAGAATCCATGAATTAAGAAGCAGAGAAGGAAATGCATATTGATATTACAAAGAGGGATATAGCATAATTGTTGGAACATGGAAGCATTTTTTCTCCATTTAATTTACTTACCATACATGAAATCAATAGAGCAAAATTAAAAGTCAAAATAGCTATCTATTTTACCATGATAAATAGGTTTATGCTCATGCAAAGTTTTGATATCGTTTTTTAATTGATGAAAATGATTAGATTACAATTAGAAGAAAGTATTTATACTACAAGGCATACACTGTTGACAAGGAAAAAAAGATTGGAATAATTATTTACAATATTTAAGATTCTTAAGTAATTATTATTATTCTATCAAGTTTTGGCCAAAAAATGTAATTATTATTATTCAAGTGTAATTTTAGGTTATTATTAGTTTTCCTAGTTCTATTCGGATTAGGTCTTTTATTAAGAGTGTCATTTAAGAGTCTTTTAGAAGCCTTTCACTAATGTTGAGTACTTTTCTTTTGTAGAGAGTCTTAATCTAGTTAGAACTTAGAATAAGAACTCTATTTTCATGGTCAGTTAGGAGTCTTAGGACTATATATATGCTGGTACCTTATTTTTCATTATTCAAATTCAATAATATTCAGAAATTTCTAGTAAGAGTTTTTTCGTGGGATTGTGTGATGCAATCTACCTTAGGTATGATGCTTAATGATTCTCTATCTCTTTAGGTGTGACACCAAAAGAAACCTAGGTGTGATCCCTACAATTTTTCTATCTTTCTCTTAGTTCTTCTGTTTTTCCTACCCTACCTTAAAACTGCCTCCTAATCTCTTGTATATTTTTCTCGCATGCTGGTCATAGTACTGATTCAGCCAAAGTCAGCTCCATAACCCTAAAATCCACCATACCCCCTAATCTATCCTGCATCAGCTTCTTGATCCCTCAAATCAATTTGAAATATTTCATCCCCCTAAACCTTTAATAGTCCAATTAAAAAGAAAAGAAAGATGAAACACTCCAAATTTTCAAATGTTAGTAGATTTCCTACAAGTGTAGTTACATTCTAAATTATTTTCGTTGGCCTTCTACTTACATTCTAACTGAAGCAGACATTTTATTATTGTTAAAGTGAAGCACCTGCCAAAATGACTGAAAACTTTATTCCCAACATATTTCACTTAAGAACTTTCAAGATTTTCTACTGAATGAAAACAACAGAAGTCTAAGATTGTTGTACCACTAAAAATATTCAATTAAAAACAAAAGTAAAAAAATATTTACAGATCTTCAGCAAAAAAAGTACTTTAGACTTTAGAACAAGAACACTGGCAAATCAGGTTTACTTTTTTCTTCTTTTTTTGATACTGAAGGTGGGGCATTTGAACCCATCACTTTTGGATGGAGGAACAAGCACCTTATCAATTGAGCTACAAGCTCAAGTGCAGAAATCAGTCACAAATATCAATTGGATTTTATAAGGAAAAAAGAAGACAATTATCCAAAGCCTTAAAGCAATATATAATAACAGCAAAAACACCAATTCATGACAATGATGGTGCAGGCAGAGTAAAATCTACAAACTTGCACCCTAAATTAAAACATAAATGCGTTGGAAGCTCACAAGAATTTACAGACTTCTTAAGTTAAAGCTTAAAGAGACCTGGAGATGAGGTGTTGTGCTCACAAATGTAGACGCGCATTCCACCCTGAAAATATTTCTTAACATGTAAGCATAGTTGAGAATGAAAAGACACGCTCTTGAAACAAGAATCTAATTAACTAAAGAAGGAATTTTATTTCCCCGGAAAAGATTGCCATGGCACACAAACTACAGGATGTATCCAATAAGATATAAAGTTAAAACAATGAAGATAAGCAATTAATGGAAAGTCTAGAGACAAACCAATTTTTTCATTAAAAAAGATGGGTATTTCATGCAAACCATATGGAAAGGGAGAATATTTTCTAGATAAACAAGCATTGCAGAACTCTCCCTACTACAATGTGAGAAGTGACAATATAAATATTGAGGCAAGGTAACTTCTTAATAAAGTGGTCTTGTGCATGGAGTGAGATGGTCAGGCTAGGCAAAAGCAGCTGGCAAAGAAATGGAAACCATAAAAAGAATAAGGAGGTACTCAAAAACTTTTATCTTCATGTGTCGCACATTAATGCAAGCAGACATGCCTCAATCAAGCATCATCAGCACAAGATAGCAAGTGTCAAGCAGGAGATTTAGCAGAGAATAATTGCATAACAAAAGAAAAAAAAAGGATAGATAATAAACCTTAGGCTCACATGAAGATGGGGGTGGAGTTAAAAGCATGTGAGCTTGGCAAGGAAATCCGGTTTCTGATCACTACAGTAAAATAGCAGCAATACAAAGATTGCATTAACAGACTGAATCTATATTTGAATAACAAGAAACTTTACTCCAAAATAGCCAATTGCTGATCCACAGAAACAGACTAGACAAAAAGGAGAGAACTATGATTCAATGGAAAACAAAATGAGAAGTTCTTAAGAATATTGCTACTTAACTACAATTCCTTTTTTAGGGCTAATAATTTTAAGTATAAAAATAAGGAATGTAACAAAATTCCTTATCTAGGCTTATAAACCTTAGACATCCATCATAAGACCTAAAGTGGATTGTTAAAAGTTCATACATCTCAAAAATACAATTTTAAAAGTGCTTCAATCAACATAGCTAAAGATAACAATTCAGAAAACCTCAAAACTTCTCTGGATTTCAGAAAGCAAGAAAATTCAAAGAAAATCTTAGTCTAAAAGATTCAGCCATGAAAATACCAAGACCGATACACAGACACAATAAATTGCTGAGAAATTTAAAATAAATGGAACTAATTAAATAGAAAAATATTATAGCGGATAAAAAGAGATCACCAGATTGGAGGAGAGGACAGAGGAGGAGAAGAGCCCGCGAGAGGGAAGATTGGCGAGGAACTTAGAAGCGCCGCTGGGCCTTTGATTGGGATCAGACGGTAGGTAAGAGGTGCCCTCCATGACCGTCGCAAAGTGAAGAGAGACGACACTGATCGAGTCAAAACGCGGCGGTCTAAATTGCTACTGGTTTCGCCGCCGTACACTGTTATTCTTGATATATGCGGGCTGTAGTTGCCGGGAAACAGAACGTAAGTGGTGGGTTTAAAGTATTTATAGTCCCCTACTTTCAAAAAAGTAGTCTTTTCTCTCTCCGCAAATTATTTGGTCATTCTAGACTTTCTACTTTTCACCTAAGTGCCCAAGCAACGCGGTTGGGGTAAAGTCGTCATCCACTGTTTTTTTTATAAATATTAAAAAATGGACTTAACCACATAAAAAACGACGAATCTGGGCCTTCGGCTTAGAAACCTCAGTTAACTTGTAAAGTGCACCTCTGTCTTTAAACAACTATTTAAATTCAATCATTTGTAAATTTATTAAAAAAAAAAAGAAGATGAATCCAGAAACATAAACAACTAATAGCTATAAATTTTATTGAATCTGGTTCATGGGCTGGTGTTTGGTTAATTTCCTAACATGTTCATTTGTAATTATTATTTTGCGTAAATTTAGATCATTTAAATTTCTCACATTATTAGAGAAGCAAATGTATGCAGTGATCAGTTAGCCAAGCTAGGCACTACTTGTTCCAATTCTTTTGTCATCCTTGGATTGCCTCCTCCTATTACCTCCTTTTATTTTGCGCCTGTGTATTGGTCTAATATACTAGACCCTCTCTATTTTTTTTTTATGTTTTATGTTTTTTTTTTAAATAACCACTTTTAATGTATTTTTCCTTGTTTGAATTTATGACTATCCTTATTTTCTTTAAAGAAAAAACTAATAGTAAAAAATTAAAAATCTTACTATTAAGTCTCATCGCCTCCCTTTTCTTAAGGTTAGAGTGTTGTTGGTCCCTTTGCATCCAGTGAGGGTTTCATCTAGTTTTCTTGTCATTTTTCTAATAATTTAGTCATCCTTTTTGGTGGTTGGTGAACTATGGAGAAGGTTACCCATGGAGAATGGTAAGGTCGTCTATTTGAGGATCGTGCGACGTAGTGTTCTTTTGGGTAATGTTGATTATTAGGGACTAATTATGCTTGTTAGGGCTCTTGGAGTTCTTTTGGGGTTAGGTGCATGACTGGTGGCAAGTAAAGGGTAAAGGCTAGGCAAGGTAAGGTCGGTTTGTTGCATTTTCTAGTGGTGTGATGAAGGAAGCTCTTTTGTTGTTTAAATTGTTGATGGCATGGTACATATTTTGGGTTGTTTTTAGTTCTCTACCTATTATTAAAGCTTGTATTTTGTTGTGATCCATGCCTGCTAGCCTTTGACTTGGGTGGTCAATCAAAGATGAATCTTTTTGGTGGATTGAGAGTGTAACTCACTAATTTTTGGACTTGAACCTCACAACCTATGTTATGGGTCATACATTTCATGCATTAGGGATGCATTTGCATAGACTAGAAGTTCGCTGTATTATGTACAAATTTATAGATAATTAGACATCATCTGCCATTTGTTGACTTTAAGGCATTTCTAACCCTTATAAGAGCTGAGAGAAACAAATATTTTTAAGAGAGAAGACATTCCAGCTTACTCTTCATCTTCCTATACTCAACAACTCCTCTTCCATTACGTAAAAACTTTTGTTTGTGTAAAATTGAATGAGATTTTTATTTTTTTTAATACTCACTTGAGTTTGTGAGCTATGCACACCCATGTTCTAAGAAACTATCATCATCATCGTCAACCTCTCATAATGGTTTATGAAACTTTGAAATGGTCTCCATTTTTATCTAAAAATGTGATTTTATTTTATTATATTTCATCCATTTTCAATCAATTCTTTTTCACTAGTTTATGGAAAAAACATTAACCTGCAAGTTGACCCATAACTTGTTAAGGTTGGGTTAGGATTGGCTTTTTTTCAACATGTGACATATATATTATGACCCAATTTGTGTAACCCATCACCCAACCTAACTCAACCTAGACCCAACCCAACCCTCTAGTTTACTAGGTTTAGTGGCACTAGGCTAAAAGGAGGATACCATCCTTTGTGTTTATGCCTTTCCTTCCGAGAATGTCATGGCTTCTTAGTGACTGTCATAGGATAGCCATAAAGCCCAACAACAAATGACTCCTTATTGCTAGCGGTGGCAATTTGCCCTAAGCCCCGTGGGAATCCCCACCATAAGGATAGGGTAAGGATGGGAGACATTTTCCCTTCATGAAATTTCACAAGGAATTTTCCCCATCTCGTGGGGCCCCACGGGATCCTCTTCCCCACAAAAAATTAAAAAACTATATTAATTAATTTTATTTTAAATTTAATTCAACCTTCAAAATCAAACTCAAACCCAATTCAATAAAAATTAAACTTTACCCAACCCAACCCAACTCATCCCATCATCCTCTTTTTAACCCTAACCTTATTCATTTCTCCTCACTCACGCGTTCGACCTTCCTCTCCCCTTCTTTCTTCTATAATCGACAGTACAAAATTACATATCTCAAAGCCTAAATCCCTCAATTCCCTCCATAGTTGCCCTAATCTTATTCATTTCTCCTCACTCACTCTCACCGTCAACCTTCCCCTCCCCTTCTGACTTTTGCTGCTACTAATCTACTACTGGAGTTGCTGTCAAAGACTCCACATAAAGGAAATCAGTGGAACCTTCCTCTGATTCTTATAGGGGAACAAACCGAAAAAATAAACCCCCTAAACCCCCAAGAAGGGGGGGAAAAAAGAAAAACCCAAAAAAAAAGGCAATGAGAGTTCGACTCTCCCTCGATCTCTAGTATGTATTGTGAATCATGATAGAGAGTGAAGTGAGGAACCAGCCCCAAAAGTTCCTATTGGCCAGTCATCATTTGGCTATTAAGTTTATATTTCTTTTATTTTTTGTGATATATTTCTTTCGTTCTTTAATTAATTAGTTAATTTTTAATTTAAATTTTTGTGTTTGAAATAGGTTCTTTGGATGATATATGTTTCTTTACTCAAAATGAAGATGTGGATTGTGATGAAGAAAATAATTTAAAGGTAAAATATATATGACCTTTTCTTATACTAATAATAAAAAAAGTTTTTCTATAAATATGTCAACATGAAGTATTAACTAATTGTATTGTAGGTTTTTTTTACGACCACATGTGGATTCTGAGAGCTAAGGTGTTTTGAGTTGGTTGCCTTCTTTCATGCTGGCTGTTGATTTAGTTATTTTATTTATGTTGTATTGATTTTTGCTTATGTTTGGAACAAGTAAATTGCTTTAGCTATTTATGTTGGATTAATCTTTATTTATATTTGAAACAAGTTTGTTGATTTAACTATTTATGTTGAATTGATCTTTATTTATGTTTGATGTAAAAAATGTATATTTTGATATTAATTGGTGCGGAATGGGGATCCCCGTGGGCAATGGGAACAAAAGGCAAAATCTACACCTTGTCAAAAATCCTTGTGATAATCCCCATCCTTGTCATTTATTGGAACAAGGACGGGAAGGGACTCCCCGACCCCGTGAAGCCCTCCCTCCTCGACCTTGTGGGCTCCGTTGACATCTCTACTTATTACTAATCACAAATGCTTTAGTGGAGCCTAAAGGGGTATTAATCAACATTTTACATCATGTAGCATCAATCTCTCATCAAATTGATACAAAAGATTGAAAACAAACACACCAGCTAAGTGTTTGAAACCCTCAAACATACCGTCATCAACAAACTTAACTTGATTATGATCAACTACCTTCTCAATCCTCATAATAATAAATTGGTTACCTAGAAAGATAACTAGAAGAAACATAGCATCAATAGAAAGATTTATTTTTTGGATTTTATATTAAAGGGTGGCGAGGGATGATGGAAATAGAGAATTAATTAGACCAAAACATCAACAAAAATCTTGAACTAGCAATTATCGCCTTAAAGGGAGCAATTTCTCTCCATGGAGTGTCCGTTGGTTCTTTATTTTCAATAATTAAGATTTATTACAATTTTTTAGATAAAAAAATTATTTTTAATAAATATAATAAAAATAAAT